TGAGTGTCTTTGTAGGTGTGCTTGCATCTTCTAATCTGTTGTGTTGATCCTCAGGTCTGTTTCTTTGCCAGTACCATGCTGACTTTATCACTGTGGCTTCGTAGTATTGTTCCAAGTCAGGAATTAAGATGCCTTCTGCCTTGCCTTTGTTGCCCAAAATTGTATTTAGTATTCCAGGATTCTTCTGTTTCCAAATGCATTTTAGGACTATTTTCTCTAGATTTGTGAGGTATGGTAATGTTATTTTGATTGAGAGTGCATTAAACCTGAATAACGGTTTTGGGAGTATAGACATTTACACAATGTTGGTTTTTCCCTAGCCAAGAGGAAGAAATATCCTTCCATTTTCTAACACCATCTTCAATCTCCTTTTTTAGCATAGCATAATTTTCAACATATAGGTCTTTTACAGTCTTAGGTTGATTCCTATATATTTCATTTTTTAGATGCTATTGTAAAGGTCTATATTTCCATAATTTCTCTCTCAGTGAGTTTTTTGTTTGTTTATAGGAATGCTGTTGATTTTTGAGTGCTCACTTTGTATCCAGCTACACTACTACATTTGTTTATTACCTCTAGTATTCTTTTAATGGAGTTTTTTGGGTCTTCTGTATGGAGTATCATGTCATCTGCAAATAGTGATAGTTTAACTTCTTCCTTTCCTGTCTTTATTCCTTTTATTTTTCTCTCTCATCTGATTGCCCTGGCTAGTGTTTCCAGAATTATATTGAATAGGAGTGGTGTACTGGACATCCTTGTCTTGTTCCTGATTTTAGAATGACAGATTTCAGATTTTTTTTCATTTAGTATATTGTTGGCTGTTAGTTTGTCATAGATGGCCTTTATAAGATTGAAGTGGACATCGTGTATTTGGAGTTTCTAAAGGGTTTTTAACATGAACATATATTAGACTTTATTAAAAGATTTTTCTGCATCTATTGAGATGTGCTTTTTGTTTTTGGCTCTGTTGATCTAATGTATTACATTTATTGATTTGTATATGTTAAACCATACCTGCATTCCTTGAATGAATCCCTTTGGTCGTGATGTATAATCTTCTTGATGATTTGCTGCACTCAATTTGCAGATATTTTATTGAGAATCTTAGCATCAATGTTCATTAGTGAGATGGCCCAGTTCTCCTTTTTGGTTAGGTCTTTCTCTGGTTTTGGTATCACAGTAATACTTGCCTCCAGGAATGATTTAGGGAGGACTACCTCCTTTTCAATTTCATTGAAGAGTTTAAGGTGTATCAGCCTCAAGTCTTCTCTAAATTTCTTGTAGAATTCAACTGTGAATCCATCAGGACCTGGATTTTCTGTGTTGGTAAGTTTTTAATTACATTTTCAACTTCAACAGCTGATATTTGGTTATTCAAAATTTCTTTATCTTCTTGGTTGAACTTTGGTAGTTCATATGTTTCTAGAAATCTGTCCTTTTCCTCTGCATTTTCCACTCTATGTGAGTAGAGATTTTCAAAGTAGGTATTCATGATCTTTTGAGTTTCCATGGAATCTGTTGTAATTTCCATCTTTTCAGTCCTTATTGCATGAACTTGCATTGTTTCTTTCTTTTTCTTGATAAGGTTAGCTAGATGTTTGTCTATTTTATTTATTCTCTCCAAAAAACATGTTTTAGATTCATTCATTCTTCGTATTTTTTTTGTTTCAATTGCATTAATTTCTTCTCTAATCTTTACAATTTCCTCTTTTCTATGATTTTTGGGTTTAACTTGCTCTTCTTTTTCTGGAAGCTTGCGATGAAGCATTAGGTTGTTTTATTTGTGCTTGTTCTTTTTTTTATATGAAAGTTTGGTGCTATATATTTCCCTCTTAAGGCTGCTTTCATTGCATCCTACAGATTGCAATGTGTTGTTTGTGTATTTTCATTAAATTGTAGGTATTGCTTTATTTCTTACGTATTTTCATCTGTAGCCCACTGGTTGTTCAGAAATTAGTTATTTAATTTCAATGTATTCATGCAGGTTTTGCAATTTCTTTTGCCATTAATTTCCAGTTTCAGTGTGCTATGGTCAGATATTACACATCAGATAATTTCAATACCTTTGCATGTACTTAAGAATGTTTGATGGGATAACATGTGGTCTACTTGAGAATGTCCCATGCACAGCTGAAAAGAATGTGTATTCTTATATGGTTGGGTGGAACACTCTGTAAGCATCTACTAAGACCAATTGCTCACAGGTATGATTTAGTTCTATTATTTCTTTGCTTACTTTTTGTCTAGTTGATCTATTTCTTTGTGGCAATGAGCTGTTAAGGCCCCTGTGATAACTGTGTTCTTGTGTATTTGGTTTTTCATGTCCATTAGTATTTGTCTTATATACTTGGGTGCTCCTGTATTTGGTGCATATATATTTATAATTATTAGTTCTTCCTGTTGAATTTTTCCACTAACAAGGATGTAGTGACCTTCTTTATCTCTTTTAATCATTTTAGGTTTGACATTCATGTTGTCTGCAAATAGAATATTTACCCCTGCTTTTTTCTGGGTTCCTGTTGCATGGAATATTGTTTTCCATCCTTTGATTTATAATCTATGAGTTTCCTTTTGATCAAATGTGTTTCTTATACAAAATTCATTGTGGGATCATGTTTCTTGAACCATTATGTCAACCTATTTTTTTTTAATTAGGAGAATTGAGGCCATTTATATTCATGGATTTAACTTACATTTACTTGCTTGACTTTCCCATGTTATGTTCCAGTTGTTTGCTTTCTGTTTGTCCCCTTCATTTTTTGCTTGTCCTACCAGATGGTTTCTTTCTGCTGTTGTTCTGATGATTGTGGTCATTTTTGCCTCTCTCTAGTATGCCTTTCAAGCCTCTTTCTAAGGTTGGTTCAGTGGACACGAATTTCTTCAGTTGTTCTTTGTTAAGGAAGTATCTTGTTCCTTCATTAAATTTGAATGAAAGATTTTCTGGGTACATCAGTCTGGGTTGAAAGTTGTTTTCTTTCAGAGCTTAAAATACCTCTCTCCAAGCTTGTCTTGAGGTTTTGTGCAGAAAAATCTTCAGTGATTCTAATGGGATTTCCTTTACAGGTGAATTGTGTCTTTTATCTAATGGCTTTTAGTATTCTGGTTTTATGCTGGATGTCTGAGACTTTATTGTATGTCTGGGTGTAGATTTATGTTGGTTGTGATTGTTTGGTGTTCTATATGCCTCACTTATCTGCATATCAGATTTTTCTCCACATCTGAGAAATTTTCTTCCCTTACTCCTATGAATATTTTAGTTATGTCATTTGCATTGACTCCTACATCTAATATTATTAATCTTATATTGTTTCTCTTGTCCTAATCTTGAAGCTGCTGAATTGTTATTTTATGCTGCTTCATTATTTTTAAAAGTTCTGTCCTTTCATGATCACAAATTTTGATCCTGTCCTCAAGATCTAATATTTTATCTTCAGCTTCCTTTAAATAGTTTTGCCAGCTTTCAACAGAATTTTTTTTCTTGTATGTCTCTTTGAGTTTGTTTCCTGAATTCTGCTTGTTTTCTATATTGTTCATTCATGATTTCAGTCAGTTCCCCATGCTCCTGTACTTTTTTCTCTGTTTCTTATTTAGATGTGCTGAGAAACTCCTTTACTAAGGTTGTTGTTTCTGTCTTTTCATGGAAGAGTACTTCTAATTTGATTTTCTCTATTGCCTCATGAAGGTTTTTTTTTTTTTTTAAATTTCACTTGCTATCCTTTCAGAGATTTCTTGTATCTTACTTTTGAAGTCCTCTATTTTAATGTCTCCTATACTTGCTCCTGGTGGACTAGATGCTTGAGATTGCATTTTGCTTTTTCGTTTTGCCATTTTCCCATTTCAAGTTAGTATTTGGCCCTTCAATCCCACTAGTGTCAACTGTTGGTAGTGTGTATATTGGAGTCCTACTCTAAGGTTGATGTTTGTCCAATTCCTGGGTCTTACAATGAAGAAGTGGGCGAGTCACCTAGCTTGCCCCTGCAAGGCCTGTTGGGTGAGTCTTCTGTTTTTCCTGGGCTGACAACCCCAGGAGTATTGATGTAGGTCAACTTTTAGTTCCTGCTGTTTCTTTATCTTCAGGTTATTTGACGTCACCAAAACTCCCTGTCTATAGTGTTTGTATCAGCATAGGCCCTACTGTGTCACTATTGTGTGTCTGTGTGTCTCATAAACACCTTTGATTTTCTCCAAGATTGGGAAGTCCTTATTGGCACACTTACCATGCCTGATGTTCTCTGTGTGCAGGAAAGAGTCACCCACACCAAGGTCTTACAGTTAGTTGGAGGGTGCTTTATTAGTAGCCTTACTTACTCAGTGTACACCTCTATTTTAGGGGCATACTCACCACACTGACTGGAGCATGCTGGGATTCTCTGTTTGTGTGAGGCCTTTACTGAATCTCCCATCAAGTTATCACAATTAACTTGCTGTAGTCCAAAGTTCTGGGAGAAAGGGTGGGAGCTAAAAACTAACAGCAGTATAAGTCCAGGAGGTAGGGAGTGTCCCCAAGGGGCCAGCATGTGTCGTGGGTTCAGGCATCTGCCGGGCACATGGAAAGTGCGCCGCACCAGTATAGGTGGTCCTGGCCTGAGGGACAAGCGGTTGAAGTCCATTCTTGTGTCTGCGGGGCATGTGAGAAGTACATGATGGTGGTATATGCCAAGAGGCAGGCCGGTGGCACTATCTAGGTGTCCATACGCACACAGAAAGCACAGTGCAGCAGCATACATGGTCCTACACTGATGGGAGGGCTGGTGGCATCAGTCTGGGAGTCTGCAGGACGCTATCTTGTTTTGAAATCCTATATTGCTTTCATGGTTTTCTGAATGGCTTCATATTCAGTGACTTCCTGTTTGGTCTTATTCTACTTAGTGCAGATGTAACTTCTACTGGCTGTTGAAGTTGTAGGTCAAATGCCAGGAGAAGTACAGGAGAAGAGTGATTGGAGCAGGCTGAGGTCTTCTGTTTGGGCAAGAGGTCACTGAGTTTCCCTTCAACTCAACATGGTTAATCCACTGCAGTTCAAATTTCTGGGAGAAGGAGTGGGAGCTGAAGATCAAGTACGTATTCTAAGAGATGGGGGGTCTGCCTATGGCAGTGGCTGTTGGCACAGCATTCTTCCAGGCTGATGAGGGTCTCACAGAAAGCACAGCAGCACAGACTCAAGGTCCAAGATTGCTCCTCAGGGCCAGCAGGGGTTATGCAGGAACTGCGTGGGTAGCAGGGGTCTCGCAGAAAGCCTTATTAAATTATTTCTTTGATGTGATATTTATTTTGTAATCTGCAAGTTTCCTAAATATATACTTTTCTTATTACTTTAAATGACATTTGTATTTCTACTTCTTTGCAATGTATGTAGAAATACTTTGGACTTTTTTATCAAATTGCATGGTTATGGTACTGCTTAACACAAACATTACTTGTAATAGTTTCTTAAGGTCTTTCAAAATTTTCTTACCCTACAGTAATGCCATCAAAAAATAAACATAATTTTTACTTTTTGTTTCCTGTTTTTTTTTTTTTTTTTTTTTGCCTCACTTCACTGGCTATTCTCAAACAGTGATTACAATATTTAATGAACCTGTGAAGATCAGATATTCTGTTCTTATTCCTAATGTTATATCTGCATTCATGGCTCAGTAATCAAAAACCTAAGACAGTTATGACTTACTTAAGTGTCAATAGAAAAATCAAAATACAAGGCAAAAGTATATTATAATTTGAGAATCACATTATAGCAAATGATTGTGATATGTTACATAATTCAGTGCCATGATGCTAAGGAAGTTAGCAGTTGTGAAAAAAAAATTGATGTATAATTATGTTAGTTAAAAAGTACACAGTCATTTTCTCAGTAATCATTTTATTGGCCTGAATTCCATAAATGAGTCAGAAATGTATAGACTATACAGACACTATAGTTTTATATAAGTATTTTACAAGTACACAATTGAGAAATATCTGTGGTTGAAAGATTCTACTCAAGTAATTATTGTATTAAATGACAAAGCCCAATTCAAATATTTTATTCCGCAAAATATGTTTATCAATAGACATATGTAGCACTTGCAAAACAAAAGTGAAAAACAGAGATCATCTTCCTTCACATTAGGTATTTGTAGATTTCAAATTCTTTTATACATAACTTTCTTAGCAACCACTGAACTAATTGAAAACATAACAAAATAAATAACACTGATTTTCATTCCATTCTCAATAGAGCAAAATAATTCTGTAAAGAGCTGAATGTTTGCAGAATGCTCCTTAGAGATAAGTTTCATAAACTAAAATACTAACATAGTTATACACCTGCCTCAAAATATGCCCTAAAGTCATGAAATTGAACATTAAGTTATTTAATAACTTTCTTTTAAACAATGGAATAATCAGGGTAAAGGGTAACAGAGCTTGTTTTGCTTGCAGAAACCTGATTGATGAAGACAGAAATATATATGCCTAGAGAACTAAAGCAGCTGAGTAAAACTATTTTCATGATTCCAATCATTGTAGAATCTGTAAAGATATTTCTGTAACTATGGATGTTTATTGGTGCCTCTGAATAAAACAAAATTGACTGATATCTGCAGAAGTGAGTCAGTGAGGAAATATATGCATTCACTGTCTTAGTGAGACTTCTGTGAAAATAAAATTTTCTGGCATTTCTTTTTAATAATAGAAATATTTTACCTATTTCTCTAAGGTCTTGTATTTGATTGTAAGTGATAGTTCATCCCCTATTTTCAGATAGTATTATTGGTTAAAACAAAATAATTCAGTTAAGCTAATTTGTAAATATTCTTTGGAGTAGCATGTTTTAAAATTATCTTACTTGTAATACATATACTGTTAGGTACTATGGAAAATTGTGATTTTAGACATATATTTTGCATTTTATATATATATATATATATATATATATATATATATATATATGTATTTATACTACTCTTGTTTACTCATTCCTTCATTGCCCACCAATGATTTTATCACTTTCTGAGTACGAAATGTTGATATGTCTCTTGGCACTACTACCGTATTATTATTTTAAATTTTATGGTGAACCTTTTATGTTTGTATTCTGCTAACATGTCAAATTCAACATGCCTAACCCTGAATTCATCATCTTAATATGCCTATCTTAATTATTGTACTGTAGCTGAAACAAAATGCTCTGTGGGGTGCATGGCAGTGTGATATAGTAGAAGGGCATTTCAGAGGAAATTCAGTTTATGACATGGCAAACAGGAAGCAGAACCATCAAAAGATGAGCCAAAATACATTGATACAATCTCTCAGGCTATGTCCAGTGACCCAATAGTCTTCACCTCCCAAATCCTTAACAAAATACAAACCCATCAGTAGATTGACCCAGTGTCACACCTCATGATTCAGCTAGCTCCAAAAAACCTTAGCTATGCTGTGAGCAATTGAGACTTTGGGGGGACAACTAGATAGAAGCCTTGACAATGGCCATACGTACTCTTTCTGAAGCTTCTGATCATGAAAATTAGCCTTGTGGTCTGTGTTAATTGGTAGTTTCAGTTACACCTTCTCTATTATTCTTTGAAATCTGTTTTTACCAGTATTACTTAACAGGAATCCAATTCTCAATTTTTTTCTCTCAATGTCACATGATTTAAAGTTCTACTTTGATTTTTTTTCCTATTTTAAAGACTTTTACTGTTAGTTCTAACATTTGATAATTTATTTATCCATGGTACATACTAATAACTATTTATATAATATCCTTTTAGCTTTTTAAACTACTATTTTCATTCAACTTCCTGGCAAATTCCCAAATTTCAGTAAAGTATGTGGAATATCCCAGACACCTGAATTCATTGCCTGCCTGTGTTGTATCTTAACTAAAGTTTATGAAATCTCTGTATTGATTAAATTTTCTGCAATGAAAATCATTATGATAAATTAAACAGCAGTCCTATGAGTGTATTTGTTTGTGCATATTTGTAGAACTTACAAATATTTTAACTTACATAGTAAAAGATGATTTGCAGTTGTGACAATTATATATCTGGAGATGAGGGATCTTTTTTATTTTATTTAAAGAGAAAAAAACCAGAAAAATCAAGAAGAAAGCAATCAACAATTACAACTAAAGCAAAATGTCAAAAACAACAAACAATAGAGATATTTCAAAAGAAGATAATGTGAGTTTTTTCTTTGAAATGTGAAATTTAATTTCTGTAATTTTTTGCAAGTTTATCCTGCCTGAGGATTTTTTAGACTTTTTTTTTATTTAAAAGAAAAAAACAAAACAAAACAAAACAAAACTGTATAAGGGTACAAGTAATACAGAATTACCAAAAAAAGGGTAAGAAATCACTAGTTAATGGATTACATATGGTTGAATTTAAGGTTGTTGTATTGCATATTGTTATCCTCAAAGTAATTATGCAGGCTACCAGATACAGGCATCGAAGATTCATCAAACAATAAAAATTCCCTTTGAGCAGTTTTTTTTTTTTTTTGTTTTGTTTTGTTTTTTTTTTTTACTTTTGACTATATCTATTGTAACTTTATTTTTTATTTTTTAATTTTATATAAAGGAGAAAAAAAGCAAAACAGTATAAGGGTACAAGTAATACAGAATTCCAAAACAACAGTAATAAATCACTAGTTAGTAGATTACGTATTGTCATCTTAGAAATTGTGGTTCAAGTTACAGGATTAAATCATATGAAGTGGACATTCAAACAGTGAGACTGCAAACAGTTGTGTTCAGTGATCCAATAAAAATGTAGTAATATGGTCATCTATCTTAACACACCTAAACACACTTGCAGTTGTATCCTTTAGAGCACTTTGTTTTCCTCTCTTTTTTACAACAACATTTACATATTTTGAGTATTATTACTCCCATACTTCTTATGACTTTTTTTTGCCTTTTTCTTTTTTTTATTGCCTTTTTCTTTCTATATCGGTACTGGGGATCGAACTCAAGACTGCCTGCTTACAAGGCAGGCGCTTATGCCACTGAGCTAAATCCCCAGCCCTCATGACTTTTTTTGGAAGAGAATAAAACCAAATATGACAAAACAAATATGTCAGTCAAAACAAAGGATAGACATTGTACAAACAGATGTAAAAACAGAATACAAGGCAATCAACAATGGTTACCGTAATGTCTCTTTCTACTTTAAAAAGAATTGACTATATTATAAGGTATAATAAAATTGAACAAAACAGTACAGAACTAGATCAATAAAATGTAAACATTGGAAATATTACAGGACTTCAGAAGAATAGTCAAACAAGAATGGGCATCATAGTGAAACTTACTGCATTCAAAGTAGTTACCTATACCATCAAACTTGATACTATCAAACAGAACAGAACACAGTAAAATAAGTCAAAACAAGACGGTGAGAGCAATACAGGGCTTCGAATCAAGTTAATAGGAAATCAAAAATTTACTATAATATATCCGGCTAATTTTATTGATTTTCCCTTAAGTAAAAAATAATAATAATAAAATAAATAAAAACTTTAAAAAGGGGGAGATTGAGATAAAAGAGGACATAACAACATAAAAAATACAGGTCAAAGCATTACAATTTCATCATCCTAGTGCTTCACTACAAGATAACCTGACTTAATAGTAGTTGCCAGAGTGTCTCTTTCTTTGAAATATTTGAATATTAAGTTGTATACTATGGCATCAAACATACCAAATCAATGTGAAACCATTCAAGAGGATGAAAGTATTACAGGTTATTTAGAACCAGCTAATGGAAAACGAGCAATGGTTTCTATACTATCTCCTTGTCTATAAAAAAATTTGTTTATACTATCACATATAATAAAACCCAGTAAGATACAACATGATAAAACCAACGGAGACAGAAAAACAACAGTTTGGTGGGACTTCAAGGCAAGATGATATTAAATCAGCACTAGCTATTATGATGTCTTGTTTTCTTCAAAATAGCTGTTTGTAGCATCACAGGCAATAATAAAAAACAGCTCATAAAAAAGCTATTCCAATTAATGAGTGAAAACTTTATAAGTCTTCAAAGCCACAAAATGGGGAATCATGATTACCACATATTTTTATATATTTGAATCACTTCTCACAATAGCGAAACTGCTTGATACTCATACATGTGAGTTTGATTGATTTCACTTATAAATATGGCCTCAAGCTGCGTCTATTCATTTATACATATTTCAATGTGATCTTTCTTTATAGCTGAGTAGTATTCTATTGTATAAAAATACCACAACTTTTTTATTCATTCCTCAGTTGACGGACACTTAGGGTTAGGGTTAAAGGATGCACAAAAAAGTGCAAGGAGATGCATCTCTTGCAGGATGAATTTGGTCCAAGAGTTAAAAAAAGTGAGATGTGAGGAAGGGAAGAGGGAAAACAGTAAAATAAAGAAATTCCTTGTTCCGGGAAATAGCAAGCTCAATTACTGTAAATACTATAAGCCATAACACTATACAAGACTAATAATATCGACAAGAATACAAAATGAGATGGAGGAATTGAACAATGAGAGAGAGAGAGAGAAAGAGAGAGTGGGAAGGAGAATAAAAAGAGAAAGATGATGTGCAATGTTTATGTTACCACTCCCCAAGGTGACTGTAATCACAGGAGCTCCAACTATGTAATAATAAAATAAAAGTCTTTACAAAAAGATTGCAGGGGCCACAGCAAATACAGAATGAGAAACATTTTTAATAAGTACAGAAGACTTTGAGTTTCATAAGAAGAAATATTTCTGTAGATTAGTAGCAAAACAGGTGAATTTAGTTAACACTACAAAGCTATAAACTTCATTTATATTAATGTAGGTATGATAGAGTGCTATAAAGGTAAATTAGGCTCATTTTTAGAAAAATAGATGAAAGTTCAGACCATAATGCAGGGAATGAAGCAGACACAGAAGATTAAATACAATATCATGCATTTTATGTTATATGAGAGGCTCAAAATATAAATAATTTAAAGATTAAAAGAAAGGATAGATGATAAGAAACTTGGAAGGAATGGTGTTGGAAAAACTGGCTTTCCCCACCATTGTCCTAAACTCTAGTGTGTTCTGGGTCTATGTGCACTCTCCTGCCCATCCAAGGTCAACATTGATTTCTCTGTGAAGGGGTCTTTTCTGCTCTTTCATCACTGAATTCACAGGGTGGAAACGGACTCTTTGTGAACCTGAACATCTGGGAAATGGAATTTCCAAGAGGAGAAAGAAATTTCAAGTCACTGTCCATGGGGGCTATTTCGTGCTGACCCATAGAAGCCACTAAATACTCCAGGTATAACTGAAATTACAAAGAGGCATAACAACCCAACCTGTATCCTCAGCATTCAGGAGGCTGAAGTAGGAGAATTATCATGAGCTAAAGGTCAACCTGGGCTACATAAGTGAGTTCAAGGCTAAATAAATGAGTTCTCCTGCTTGACGACAGAGGACCACTGAATTTGCTGTCCAGAAAAACCCTGAGTAGAACTGAGATGCAACTGCAAATGAGAAGCATGGGAAACTGACACACGTGAACTGAGTGGGTCAAATGTCAGAGCTTTAGCAGAATCACAGATGCAGAGCTGAGTTTGTTGAGGTTGCTGTTTGTCAGAGGGAAGATCCCTGGTAACTCCACATTCTGAGAACAGCTGAGGCTCCTGAAAACAGCCCTTCTATGATTGCCTTGTGAGGAGATGTGTGTGTGTGTGTGTGTGTGTGTGTGTGTGTGTGTGTGTGTGTGTGTTTACTTTTTCAGTTGTTTGATTTTTTTGGCTATAGGCATTGTATATATGTCTCATCGCTGTAGCAATGTGTATACATTTTCTAAGGTTTTGTATAAAACACTCCAGGTAAGTAATTTCCATATGCCTACTTCAAAGGTGGTTTCTGAATATTATCTAAACTTAGTTGATCATTAGTGCAATAGTTGGATACAAACTTCCATTTCACCTCTGCTTTCCCATACACAAATGTTATTCTTCCTTATCCGTGTTATTTTGCCCTCACATCTTATCTCTGAGATCTTCCATCCTATCTTTTGTTGCTTGTCTTTTCCTATCCCTTTCTATGTAGTCCTTTCTTTTACACATAACCTATTAAGATAAATCTAAATGCCAAAGCATGTTACCATTTCACTGTAGGTTTCCCTTCACTAGAGGTGCCTTCATACGGTTTCTAAAATTAGTGTTTCTGTGATGGTACCTACTGGACTAAGTCTCCCTGTATCTCTTCCACTATCAATTTAAAACCTCTCACCCAAGTCTCTCCTAACTTAGCCTCTCATACACTAATAATTCTTCCAAATTTCCCTTACATTTTTTGGTAAATGAAAGCTGTTATAAAAATTACAATTTAATTTTGCCTACTTTTATATTTTAGCATGTATATGTTCGTGAGAAACTGTATATGAATGCGAATGATCACTCTTGTTTCTATACGCTAACCAAAGGATTTTTCATCATCAAAAGTCATTGTTTTAGTTTTCTAACATAGAGTTTCTGCTGGTTTATAAACTACATACAATCACCATGAAGACTTTCTGGCTTTCTACTCATAAATTACTCACTTTCCCTCTACTGCCACACATAACTTTCCAAGTTGCCTTGATCTTTCCAGGTACAAAAATAGTATCATCAAATACTACTTATTCTTCTTTCATTCACTTTGTTACTTTTTAGTCTCCTTCAGTTTTTCTAAATTTTTGTTCTTTCTTTTTAAAAATTCAATATTCTCTGTTATCTTCTCTTGTCTCCAAGACCTTTCTCTACCTTAACTATATTTTTATATCCTGAGTTACTGAAAGGATATAAAACTTGCTAAACAAGTTTAGTACTACACTATATATCAAGGTATATATCAAGATATATACTTTGGATCCTTTGGCTACTGGATGTTAGTATTGCTGGAAGCTGTTCCTTACAATTCAGTTCTAAAAAACAATCATTATTGTTTAAATAAACTAAGTAGATATCTGTGCACTAAATCTCACCCAAAACTAGAGCCACATCACAGGGAGAAATGCACTTACCAAATAGATCTGTACTACAATGGCAGAGATTACAAACCCTACTGATAGGCAACATTTAAACAAACACAAGAATCTTGAGGAAAAAGAAAAAAATGATACCTCAAAAATTGATGAATGTCCAAGAGATCATATCATGAACACCACATTGCAGGGAAATATCAGGCAACGACCTCAAAAGCCAAATGTTTGAACAGATCAGAGAATATATGAAAAATTTACCAGTATACTCCATTACCTCAAAGAGAATATATGCAGATAAATTATATAATTTATAAGATTATCAGAGATTAAAGAACACATAAAAACTAAATTAAGGACAATGACAAGGAATATTAATGATCACGTTAGCAAAGAACTACAGATTCAGCCTGGCAAGTGGCACATGTATGTAATCTCAGCTCTTGCGGAACTGAGACAGGACAGTTGCCATGTATTCAAGGCAATCCTGGGCTACATAAAAGAATTCAATTCCAAAACATACAGGCAGACAAAATAAGAGCTACAGACTCTAGCCAAGTGAGGTGGTTCAAGCCTCTAATCCAGCTTCCAGGAGGCTGAAGAAGGCACATGCAAGTTCAAACCCAGCTTTGGAAGCACAATGACTAGCAAAGACACAATTTCAAAAAAAAATAATAATAAATGAAAACTTAGGTATAGGGCTGGAGATGAAGTCAATGTGCAGGCTCTGAGTTTCATATTAGGAGTAAAACAAAAAAAAATATTGGTTGTATAAAGAAATCTAGCAGAATTCCTGGGAATTGCAAACATACTGGAAAGCCACACCTGTATATTATAAAAATCATAGATTTTGTGAGGATCTGATGACAAGAATAGTGTCACTAATACTTTGGTCCTTGCCAGTAGTTGCTCTTGGAAGCACAGGTGTCAAAAACAAACTGTTTTGCTGAAATGTGGTAGCAAATTACCAGAGAGTCAACACCAATAAGTTCTAATTTACGTGTGAGCACTGAACAAATGAACAAGAGAATGAACATTTGCATCAAAATGTATCAAGTAGCAAATGTAATAAGGTTAAAATCGCTTGCATACCGATGATGACTTTAGTAGATCACTTACTCAGTGATGCACTCTAAACAAAAGTCCATGAAAGGTTGATACTCGCGCTAAGTGAATCTAAAATATCAAACCAATGAATTACTTTGTCAAGGAAGTGTTGGAAAAGCAAACTAAAGTTATAAATGTCTATTAGCTTATATCGTTACAGACAGTATTCCAAATCTAAAAACTTTATTGAAGACTCAAGTTAATGAGGTATTTAGCAACCCAAATAAATATCGTCAGAGAGGGACGCCATGAAACTTCGTAGTCAACATTCTAGGAAGTCGTAATAAAGACAGAATGCAAGCCATTAAAGGCTGACGTCACCAAGGTCCCCGGAAGTGCCTCCTCAGAGAGAGGAGGCGGCGGAGGCGGAGGCCAGAGGCAGAGGCCCCTGGCGTTTGTACCGTGTATCATGGCTGACAGAAGACATAACATGTGTTCTGACGGACACCATGTCAACCAAAGACTTCCCAGAAAACGAGGGTCACCTCAGAGTCTTCACAGTGATCGCTACCTTAGCATATTTAACATTGTGCCAAGGCAGCCACCACCGCTGGAAAGAGAAGGATCACTACTAAAGACACCACCGCTGTGTGGGGAGAAAGCACGACTGCTAGACAATCCTGGTCAAGGAAGCTACAATAGATATTACAGTTTAGCCGGTCACGAAGAATATGACAAGGGCCAAACATCTGCTCCTGATCAAGGAAGTGTTCCACCTCAGAAAGGAGATGAAGCTAGCAATCAATGGTCAAGATACAATCCTTCTGCAAGCCCCCAGAGTTATAATAGGGATGAGAGAGATAGCTGTACAAGACAACGTTTCTTCTCTTCCAAGTATACCAAACACCAGTCTCCTCATACAAAGGATACAGCATGTTTTGGAGAGCCACTGTTAGACCAAGAAGCTTCTCCTGTCAGTAACAGGAGGTACACTCCAGTCCAAGGAGAAAATTACTCTTTTGGACAGCCTCAGCAGAGAAGAGAAAAAAGGAAGGTCGTGATTTCGGACACATCAAGATACATTTCTCTCCGAAATTCTGAACCAGCTACTTCATCAAAGGTGTTAGAAGATAAATCCAGAAGGCTAACTGAAAAGGAGCTTTGTGAAGCTGTAAGGGCGTGGGCTGCCCAAACCTCTGAGGCATCACAGGAAAGCGGCATCTCTGAATTTGAGGAGGAACTTACAAGACCATTATTCAGTAAGCATACAGTCCCGCCACCAGCAGATGCAGAAGACAGCACAGAAGTATCTGAAGATAGTCAGCTTGGCAGTTCCTTTACACCAATAGATTCAAAAGTCAAAGAGATTGAAGACGTTTACCAACAATACAGTGAAACTTTTGGGATGGTGGTGAGAAAGTTGATTGAAAAGGATCCTTCACTAGAAAGGCCTATACAGTTTGCACTGAGTCAAAATTTACAAGAAATAGGTGACCGGCTTCTTAAAGATCTCAAAGATTTTATTGCAGAGTATCATGCTAATCAAGATATTGCGGAGTCTTCTTAGGCGCTATGGTGGTCAGGCAGAAAAATGTATTTCATTGTTTTATTTCTGCAATCTTAAAAGCCTTAATGTATGGACTGTTTGCAATGAAGAGCAATACTTTATGAGTCTTCAGTATCAAATAAAGATCTGACACAGTCTATTTGCAATATTTGACTTTGTTTTTTTCCACATGTTATATCCACTAATGTGTATACCTCTTCCACTCCCATAATGATGGTCAGTTAATTGTTTTTGCTTTGAAGAAGCTGTCCTGGGGGGCAGTTTTTTATACTTTCTCATACTGCATGATCCCCCCAAGTGTGTGATTCATCTGAACACATGAGTGTAACTTCCAGGTTAGAAATCATTGCACCTGAACATTGGTAGTCTTTTTACATTTCATAGTGAGCAATGCCATGTGGGAATATTGGAAGTCTGATTTGTGATTTTTATTAATTTGTTGCTTGTCTTAATCTTCAGGAGACATGATATGCTTAAAAAAACCATCATAAGAAACTGAATACTTTAGTATCTTAGAGGATATTTACTCTGAGAGTAATTCTCATTCAGTGTTAACAGAAAAATTAAAATCCCTGAAATACATCCGAATGTTTTTTTTTTTTCTTAGTAAAGGAACTCAATAGGTCCCTTCTATTAAAATAATGCTGAAATTTTTAACTACCCTTATTTCTTTATTTCATGTAAAAGACTAAGAGATAGATCAATCGGAGATATGGAAATTGAGGAGCATTTGACAACCCTTTTGAGTCACTGTAGAAAAATTTTAAATATATAAGAGTAGTAGGATTTTGTTTTTATAAATCCAAATCCTCTACCTCTATGCTTGGAATGAAATTATTTACAGATTTTGGAGAGTGGCCTTTTAATCTTTTGAGTTCTTTGTACCTATTTGAGAGGTACTGAATCTGACCTAAGTGTTCTTAATAATCACACATTATTTAAGAATGTTATCGAGGATCATTTGGAGAGCTAAGTTATTTCTTAGCCTCTTTCAGCAACGCAGTGGCACTGAACCAAAATTTGTAATTTATACTTAGTCTTTCCTAAGTTTTCTTGGGTAAAGCACAGCAACATAGACTGTAAGCCCTGCACAGTATGCTTTACCAAGAAGTCTGGGTAAGTATTTCTTCATAAGTGAGCCAGAAAGTCACAGATTTATTAAGAATTTTAACTAGGATCATTGGGACAGTTCACTGGTTTTCTAGTCTCTTCCAGCAACCCAGTGGCAATTAGCCAAAATATATGATTTTTGTGGCATTAGAAGAAATCACGTTTTATCATTATTTCTCTACTTTATTATTTTTTGTCTTTCCCTTTCCACACTTTTGATTTCACTTTTAGTGTCCTCTGACATTATGTAAAGAGCTATTCCAAAGCACAGGAAGATTATATTTAAAGTAAACATAGCAGTATAGTTTTAAAGATCTTATGCCTCAAAATAATTGTTATGTCATTCCACAAATTTAGAAATAATTTAAGGCACATTTATTTTTTTTTTACGTTGTTCAAGTGAGATTATCTTGAACATTAATTTTTGCCAATAAGATTAGTACTTATCTTTTATAAAACATAAGTCAAGTGAAATTTCAAGATTATGATAACCTAAAATATTAGCCCTCAAGCTGATGGTATAATGAAAACTTTTGCATCAAATGGAATCTAAATAAATTCATGACCATTGTTATGGGTTAAAATGTGCTGACCAACTTAAAGCTAGCTGAATTAAATCACCATTTTTCTGAGCTTACATGCTCCACTTGAGGAAAGTTCTCAGCATAAATAGAGACATGGAGAAGGATAAGAGAGGCATTGAGGCATTGACCCATTGTGGATTCACCTACGTGTTGCTGTTTGAACCATTGGTTTTCCAGGGCAAGCTCTGGTCCTTATATCAAACATTACTTCTTTGCTCCAGAAGCAAAGACCTATCTTTTTAATTTCCAGGATGAACTCATGATGTTGCCTTTCTGGAATGTACTAGACTGTGCTTAGCATTGTGCAGTTGAGGACCTCTCTATAGCTGAGGAAAGCTGTTGTGAGGAAAGCTGTTTTCATGACAGCTCTGAACTTTGTTTTAAGTGTGACTTCTCTGCTCTAGTATAGAAACCTCAACCTACCAGCATAGGTCCTTCACTTCACTGACATCGACATTCAAGCTTTTACCGATGATCTTTGGGCCTTCCCAGCTCAGATCTGTAAAAGACACTGGCGTGACCCTTTCTTGTGGGCTCTCAACCTCCAGCTGTACTTGTGGGAGACACTGTCATGAACTCTAGGTCTTTATCTAGATTCAGATGGGACATTGCTCTGGGATTCAGGCAATTGATTAAATATTCTGTGTTTTTAGTGTTGTGGATAGATTTTCTACACATTCTTATGTTAACTCTGGGTGACCATCATAAAATAATGTTATAAATTCCATGTCCTAATTTTAATTGTTCTCCTCGCAACTCCGAAGTCCAACAGAAATTGCTACCAGGAGAGTAGGGTCATTGCTGTGTTGTTGTCTGATCTTGTGGAATTGTGAGCCTTAGAAACTAATTTAGAAAGGTTCTTAGAGACTGGCCAAAAAAATGGTCCCGGTATGCTGTGTACTCTTTTGGAGACTCTGGTTGGGACCTGAAAAACCATAGTGCTGATGGAAATGCCACCAGTTAAGATGAAATTTGGTATGCTTCTGGTGAGAGGGACTGCAGTGACTGACTGCTGGAGTACAGGTAATATGTTGTGCTTTGGCTTAAAGTCAGTCTTAATTTTGTTTGTATTTATCGATGGCTGAAAAATTTCAGTGCAGTCTACTGTTGGGAAGGATGGTATGGTTACTTTAGAGAGGTTCTGACCAGATCTATGTTAGAAATTTTGCGCAAAGAGCCAATAGAGTAATTTAAACATTTGGCCAGAAAGAAGGCTCCAGAGGAACTGTGGGTTGTCGAGATGAAACAAAGAAAAACAAATGTTTAGAAGAATGAGACAATAAAAAAGTAAAGAGTATATTTAAATTTCAGGAGATCTTTATATTTTATTCTTGCCATGCCACATCAAAAGTTAATGAAAAACAAGGACTCTCCTTGTGATTGTTCTTTTACTTTGACTTCAATGTTGTTTTATATGTTTGTACACACATTAATTAATCAAACTACTTGTTTTAATGTTGAACTTTGGTCACCCTTTCAAATTGTTTTTGTAGCAGGAATAAATGTAGAAAAAACTGTATATACATAATTTTTGTAATAATGCAAATTTCAATAGGATAATATATGGTAACTTTAACAAATCGGACACTAAAGACAATAATAGTTTAAAGAAATGTGTGCGGTTATTAAGTTGACAAGGGGTGGATTGTTATGGATTGAAAACTGGTGGTTAACTTTAACGCCAGTTGAAAAAAATCACCGTGGTGCTGAGCATAGATATTCCACCTGAGGAAAATTGTCAGCATAAATAGAGACATAATGAAGGAGAAGGGAGGCACTGCGGTGATATATGTTTAACTAAGTGTTGCTGTTTGAGCCTTTGAATCTCCTGGACAAGCTCTGATCCTTACACTGAGCATTGCTTCCTGGCTCTGGAGGGGAAGATGTGTGCTGCTTAATCTCCAGGACAAACACATCATGTTGGCTTTCCGGCATGAACTGTACTGTGCTTATTGTTGGAGGAGCTGGGGACCTCTGTTTCTTTGAGGATGGCTGTGATGTATTTCAGCACAGCCCTGGACTTTGTCTTGAATGTGACTTCTTAGCTCCAGCATTGAACCCCCAAAATACGAGTATGGTTCCTTCACCTTGCTGACATAGACGTTCTAGTTTTACTGCTATTCTTAGGGCCTTCCGTGCACAGATTCTAAAGGAGATAGGCACGAGTTCTTCTTCTTTGGCCTCTGCACCTCCAGTTGGAATTCTGGAAGGCATTGTCATGAGCTCCAGGTCTTTGTTTAGACTCGTACAGGACTTTGCTCTGGGATTCAGGCCCTTGGTTAAAGATTGTATGTCTTTGGTGTTGTTGATAGATGTCCTTCACTTTCTTGTGTTAACTCTGGGTGACCATCACAAAATAATGTTACAAATTCCATGTTCTGATTTGCATTGTCCTCCTCACAACTACGACTACAACAACCACCAAAACCAACATTGCCAAAAAAAAAAAAAAAATCATAAAAACTCTAAACAAATGCAGAAAGGCACATATCACTAGAGTTCAAAGGACATAATACACCAAACTAGAAAAAATCTTTAAACAAAAGGGAAAGAGAAAGGAAGCAACCATGAAAAATTAACACAACCACAGGAATGATGCAAACTGGCATCACTGAACACAACATTCTAATTGTATACTTCATGTGAGAGACCAACCTCATCCATAACATAAAGTAAAAAATAAATGATAAAATAAAAAAAAATGATGGAAAAACATTCTGCATGTAACCAGTAAAGAAAAAAATGAATGAGCATGGATCCTAATTTCATACAATGTAGACTTCAAGTCAAAACCGAACATCAGAGAAGACAAAGAAGGTCACACTACACATTGGTAAAGGGAATAATTCACTAGGAAGAAATAACTTTAAATATACGTATATCAAATTTTGGTGCACTCAATCAATGAAACAGAAACTACTAGGTGTAAAAGGCCAAAAGAAAATACACCCCAGTGCATTCATAGTGGAAGACTCCAACACGTCTCTTTCACAAATAGGTCAGGCAAACAAAAGCTCAAAACACTTTAAAGTTTACAAGTACAGATAAACACACACAGTCTCACACAAACATGAGTCATGCATTCATTTGTAAAACTATAGAAGAATCATGATATTCGGGGGAGAAAAATCTTTGATTGATAATATTTGGAAACGTTAAAATAGAAGAAAAAATTTATGCAATTAGTAATCCAGATCAATAGATGAACTTGTTAGGAAAGAAAATACATTTTTGTTTCTCTATTTCTAAGACCAATGATTAATGTTAACTTATTGTGGACTGCTCAGGCCCACAACCCATGAAATG